AAATTTTTCTTGAGTGGCAATGGGCCTTAGTGCCCAACAATTTACTCGGAAAGTCTTAGAAATTAATGCGGACATCATTTCATCTACTTAGGTATCTAGCATCAAAGATCGTCTTTCACATGCCAAGAAAATCAACTCAGATTTCAAAGTGTCCATACTGCTCGACCATACTCGTGGTTCGAGGGGAAAATCCAATAGTTCCAGAACGATGTTGTTACCCTTGCTGCAAGAATTTCCTGAACATGTTAGGTTTGCATTTTATCATACTCCGGAATTACGTGGTTTCTTACGATGGATTGTCCCGGAGAAATTTAATGAAACAATTGGAGTAAGCCATCTCAAGGTTTACTTGATGGACGATTCATTTATTATTAGTGGGTAAGTGTTGAATTTTATGTTTATAAGTCAAAATTAAATTAATATGATTATTTTGTGTGTGTTTTGGATTTGACCCCCCTCCCACCCCCCGGACATCTGCCATGCCTCGCAAAAAACTCATGCAACCTTGTATATGTCAAGAGTAAAAAACTTTTTTTTACCTTTAGAACTTTTTTATAACCATAAATGTGAATACAAAAACATATAAATTATTAATTAAAACAAACAACTGTGTTACTGCAACAATTCTCCTTTTCTATGCAACATATTGTATAGAAAAGGAGAATTATACATGCAGAAAGCTTTTATTTGATGCTGTTGTTGAATTCATCATTGAAGGAAAGAATTAAAGAATTAGATAATATTATAAAGTATTCAAAATGCCAATTTCACAATGGGAAGGAGAGTTCAAAATAGAGGAAAAAGAAATTTGTGGGTTCAATTCCCACCATGGCCAAGCTAACTTTTCAGCTTGCTCAGTGTGGATGCACACTCACAGCAACATCACAAACATTAATTAACATGTTTGAATGGAAACGTTCTTGGCTACTTATTTTCCAAAGGATATTATACCCAACCCAAGTATTTTTTTACCATTAATTAAGCAGTGGTAAGGGGACTATCCACAGATCGCATACTTGCATATTTCATCCTTTTCTTCATTTTTTAGAGCAAACCTGAGCAATGATTATTTCACCAACCGCCAGGATCGCTACATCTATGTCAAGAATTCACAAAATGTTGCTGACTACTTTGACGACCTTGTCCATACAGTCAGCAATTTCTCGCTAGAACTACGGGACAATAATACGACGACCATGAACAAGAATAACTTCCCGGCTCATCCGTATAAAAATTGGGACAGAGGCAATATATTTAAACAGACTGCAAATTCAGTTGTGAAAGACTTTTTTCAAAAATGGACACAAAAGTCACGGTCAAATTTTAACACACCAAAAGGGGATACCATTATATTTCCGTTGCTACAGATGGGACCTTTGGGGATTACACAGGATGAGGAGGTTACTTCAAGGATATTTGAAGATGCCCCTGAAGGTTCCATATCACATTTGGCTACAGGGTACTTCAACTTGACGCCTAGTTATTTAGACTGTATTCTCAAAGCGAAGGGGAGGTACAATGTATTGTGTGCACATCCACTGGCGAATGGATTTTATAAAGCTGGAGGAATTATTGGTAAGTAGTACTTGGGGGAAAAGTTGTTTTCATAAAGAATGCCCTGGTTCCAGAGGTTTATTTTTACTGTATATAGAATAAGAAATGGCAATTAATTAAAGTGAAAATAAACCCTTACCTCTGGTTGAAAGCAGCAATAACCTTGCTATCTTGCAATAAGGGAGTGGTCATTATTTATGGGATGGTATAGGGGGTTGATGATTTTTAGGCACAAGATAAACTTTTCCATAACCTCTCTCTTGAGCAATTGTTGAAATTTACAACCTCTCCTTAATTCACATGTTCAAAAAAAAATTTCAAACCCTCCCCAACAAAATCATTTTAACAAAGATAAACATAAATTAAAAACAAAATAAACGTTGAGTTTCAACTTGAAACAAAAAGTTTTCTGTTGACCTTGTACTTAAAGATGCGGTACAGTCCTTATGTAAACAAAGGCTTCGTTTACATTTCGGTATCCAAAATATTGAATTTTATTCAACAACTATTTATATTTTCATGATTCTAGAGTATAATAAATTAAGAAGAGACAACAATCAAGCTTTGCAAGAACATGAAATGAAATAAAAACCTAAATAAGCTGTTTGTAAATAAAAAGAGGGCTCCTTTGTGCACATGCGCAGATCGGACTGTACCACATCTTTAAAAAAATAAGCCCAACTTCATTTTGGCGCACTAGATTTTTACAAATTTAATATAAGGGCTGAAACGAAAGTTGTTCATTTTAGAGCTTGGCATGTGATAAGATATTATATTCATTATCTACAGTGTATTAATTATTTTGATTTGTTAAAGTGGAAGTCAAGTCCGTTCTGCACATCGGTTCTGCTCATAACAATGTGACGACCTCTAATGTAAACATTGCCCAAATTTCAAATGTTTTGAATTTTTCTGAACATAAACTCTATTTCATATTCATTTAGAAGCATAGCGAACCAAATGGTGTTAGATATTCAGACAGTACATCATATTTTAAAAAATACAGCAGTTCAAAATATAAACAAACCGTTTGTTGACATACCGACTTGATTTCCACTTTAAAGATGATGTCCACTCCATTCTGCACAACAGTTCTGCTCATAACAAAAGGGGACCCCCAGATATAAACATTGTCCAAATTTTGCATCTTTCGAACTTTTTTTAATTGAAACGTACAGTTTATATTCATTTACAAGCATGGCGAACCAGAAAAAGTGTTAGATATTCAGTATATAATATTTTACAAATATAGCAGTTCAAAACGTAAACAAAGTTCGCACATGCGCACACAAGTGGACATCATCTTTAAGTTTGTTTATGTATCATTTATTTTGTTTGTGCATTGATTATTTTGTTTTGTTTTTAGTTATTTATCAAAACTGCTTTAGGTGTAAAAAAACCTGTTCTGTTTCCCGACCGACCTTATTTTTTTCTGCCGACCTTATTATTTTTTCAACGCGATGAACCATGCAACCCAATTTTCTCCGGGTGGTTGCGGGCTGCTGCCAAAATGGCGTATGTTGTCACACTAATTATTGAAAAAACCATCAAAAAATATTTAAAAAGACTATTTTTCTTGTAACCCCTCCTTTTTCATATCAAGAATCAACATAACTCCTCCTTCAGCAACTTTCAAAATTTTCTGACCCCTCCTAAAAATCATCCACCCTGCTACCACCCCATAAATAATGACCACTCCCTAACATCCAGTGAACAATCGATCAATCAGAACACACTTGACATGTGGCAAGTTTTGAATTGAACCAATCTGAGAACGTCTTTGTGTCATTACTCATTAGGAGACAGAGTCAGAAACTTTATTACCTCACTTATTATTAGCATGACAAAATTACTGGATGCTGATTGGGTGCAAAAAAAATACCTGTGGTTCCGGTTCCTGACTGACGCTATTTTTTTCTGCCCACCCTATTATTTTTTTCTGCCGACCCTATTATTTTTTTCTGCCGACCATGAAAAAAATAGTCAAAAAAAATTTCCAACCTACCGACCCTAATTTTTTCGGAAGATGAAACCGGAATCACAGGTGTTTTTCTTTACGCCTTGGTTGAGAGGAGTACAATTATTTAATTAATTGTACTGCAGTACAATTAACGATTTTCCCAAAACAAACAAAATGGCGGAACAAAATGAACACAAATGTGAAATGAAATTGCCCTTGAACAAAAGCACCAAATTTTGCTTTAACAAAAGAACTAAATGAAAATATGAACAAAATTTGGCGAGAGAATATGATGTTGATGGAAAGTGTCCAATTTTGTCATATGCTAATAATAAACAAGTAACCATGCGATGTTGCTTGTACAATTAGGGATTAATAGTACTTGTCATGTTTGGAAATTTGCCAAATTGGACTCGCCCCAGCGGCTCGTCCAATTTTGGCAAAATTTCCGAACATCACTTGTACTATTAATTATTTATTAATAACTGTACTTGCCATCGCATGATTACCTATACTAATATTAAACTCCAAGGCAAGCTTATATGAACCAGTGCTAACATGATTGTTCATTTGTTCTACATTCTAGGTGGAATACCTGATGCTTTTACTCAATTTGCAAAAGAATTTTACAACAAAATCCACAACTGTAGACAAAGCGAACGGATTATTCTCCAGGAATATCTTAGAAATCAGTGGACATTTCACGCCAAAGGATTGTGGTATCGCCCGCCTTTGGAGGATCTTCCTAACTTCACTCTGATTGGCTCTCCCAATTTTGGCCATCGATCCCTTACACGAGATCTCGAAAATCAAATTGCCCTTAGTACTAGCAATGTTGGATTGCGTCAGCAATTACGTCATGAATGCGATCATGTGTACAAGTATGGCATCCGAGTGACAGGTAAGACTTTTGAACTTCATGAACGTACGGTGCCAATGTGGGCTTGGATTGTTAGCAGCTTGATGCGCAGCTTCTTTTAATATCCAATTTACCGCACTTATAGTGTTCACTATTTTTTTAAAAATAAAATTAGTATTTTTACTTCAAATAAGTTTTAGCCCATTTTTGTTGATTTTCAATGGTTAGTGGCCAAAAAGGTCTTCTATAATCAAAATAATCAATTTTGATAAAAACCTGATTTTTTCGAAATATTCGAAAATTTTTGTCCAACTTTGCCTTGTCACCCTCCTATAGGTTTTGGCTGATTTCTTCAACTTTCTACATTTTTTAAAAACATGGCAAAAAGGTAAAGCCTAATCCTTTCAATTTTAGCCACATCGAGCCATTCCATTTAATATGTAGGCACCCCTATTGAGGGGCCTATATAAAAAGTGGGAACCCCCTTGGATGCAATTTGTTGAAACAAGTAAGGCTATTATAGCCTTTACTTCGACTTTTTCAATTTTTTACAAATAGGAAAAAAAAAGTAAGGCTATGGCCTTAACTTCACGTCCACTTTTAGCGACTTTTCCCATTTTTCATAAATGGGCAAAAAAACAGCAAAAAAGTAAGGCTATAGCATTAACTTTTCGTCCATTTTTAGCGACTTTTGCCACTTTTCATAAATGGCCAAAAACAGCAAAAAAGTAAGGCTATAGCATTAACTTTTCATCCATTTTTAGCGACTTTTTTCATTTTTAATACATAGGCAAAAAACAGCAAAAAAGTAAGGCTATATATAGCCTTAACTTTTCGCCCATTTTTAGCGACTTTTTTCATTTTTAATACATAGGAAAACAAAAAACAGCAAAAAAGTAAGGCTATAGCATTAACTTTTCATCCATTTTTAGCGACTTTTTCCATTTTTCATAAGTGGGCAAAAAACAGCAAAAAAGTAAGGCTATAGCATTAACTTTTCATCCATTTTTAGCAACTTTCCATTTTTCATAAGTGGGCAAAAAACAGCAAAAAAGTAACGCTATAGCATTAACTTTTCATCCATTTTTAGCAACTTTTTCCATTTTTCATAAGTGGGCAAAAAACAGCAAAAAAGTAAGGCTATAGCATTAACTTTTCGTCCATTTTTAGTGACTTTTTCCATTTTTCATAAGTGGGCAAAAAACAGCAAAAAAGTAAGGCTATAGCATTAACTTTTCATCCATTTTTAGCAACTTTTTCCATTTTTCATAAGTGGGCAAAAAAGTAAGGCTATAGCATTAACTTTTCGTCCATTTTTAGCGACTTTTTCCATTTTTCATAAGTGGGCAAAAAACAGCAAAAAAGTAAGGCTATAGCATTAACTTTTCATCCATTTTTAGCAACTTTTTCCATTTTTCATAAGTGGGCAAAAAAGTAAGGCTATAACCTTAACTTTTCGTCCATTTTTAGCAACTTTTTCCATTTTTCATAAGTGGGCAAAAAACAGCAAAAAAGTAAGGCTATAGCATTAACTTTTCATCCATTTTTAGCGACTTTTTCCATTTTTCATAAGTGGGCAAAAAACAGCAAAAAAGTAAGGCTATA